GTTCATAGCCAGCCTCAACAATGGCACTACTAAGTGGTGAGGCACTAAACAAGTAAGTGAGGCCTTGTCTCTAAATAAAATGCAAAGTAGGGCTGGGGTGTGGCTCAGTGATCAAGTGTCCCTGGGTTCAATCCCTGATATCCAACAAAAACACAACAAAACTACACCCTCCAGGAAGAGTGCTCTCCTCTACACAACCTGGTATATCCTGTGTCACTGGTGGCCAGTCTTGGGGGCTGGCCTGGTGAAAGCCGGGCAGGGCTCTCCTAGTCCTTAGGCCTCACATGGCAAGGGGGCTCAGGGAGAACAGTCATCCCTGTGTCCACAGGGGGGTAGTTCCAGGATCCTCTACAGATACCAAAATCTGCAAATGTTCAAGTCCCTTGCATAAAATGGCACAGTATTTGCACAGAACTTTGGCACATCTCCCCATAGACATATTTCCGTGATCCTGGGGATGGAACCCAGGGCCTGGAGCATGTTGGGCAAATGCTTTACTACTGAGCTCCACCCTCAACCTGCAGACTTTTAAATCATCTTTAGATTACTTACAATACATAATAAAATGTCTAAGTGTCACTTCATTCATGGGGATTCAGGGTAGCACTTTGCATGGGGGAAGTTAAAAGTTTTGGGGCTGTGGCGATAGCTCAGTTGGTAGAGGGCTTGCCTCGCATGCACAAGGCTCTGGGTTCAATCCCCAGCAGGACACACAGACTCACAAAAGGGGTCGGGGTTGTGGCTCAGTGGTAGAGCGCTTGCCTAGCATGTGTGAGGCACTGGGTTCAATCCCTGGCACCACATTAAAATAAAGATAAGGGCTATGGTTGTGGCTCAGCGGTGGAGCACGCACCTAGCACATGTGAAGCCCTGGGTTCGATCCTCAGCACCACATAAAAATAAATAAAATAAAGGTATTGTATCCAACTACAACTAAGAAATAAATATAAAAAAAAAAAGTTTTGCCTTTTGGAACTTTCTAGAAATTTTATAGGGGGGACATTTGCAATTTGTGATTGTCGGAATCCATGCGTGTAGAACCTGCAGAGGCTAGCTGGTGAGTGGGTGAATGAATGGGCAAGAAAAGCACTCAGGTAGTGGGCTCAGAATGTGCACAGCCAGAACCAGGCGCGGTGGCGCACACCTATAATCCCAGTGGCTCGGGAGGCTGAGGCAGGAGGATCGAGAGTTCAAAGCCAGCCTCAGAATTTAGCAAGGCACTTACCAACTCAGTGAGACCCTGTCTCTAAGTAAATTTAAAAAAAGAAAAAGAAAAAGGTCTGGGATGTGGCTCAGTGGTTAAACATCCCTGGGTTCAATCCCTGGTACCAAACAAACAAACAACAACAAAAAAGACCCCAACGGGCCCAGCCTGGGGGTGGGGTGGGTGCAGGCAGGGGGCTTACCTTCTGTTTGTCGAGGATTTTCATGGCATAGTGATTCCCGGTCTCCTTGTGCTTCACCAGCATCACCCGCCCAAAGGAGCCCGTTCCAAGGGTCTTGATTCTCTCAAACTGATCCAAATGGGCTGTGTTCTGTGGGTAGAAGGGTTGAGCCGGGGGTCAGGGACACTTCTTCCCTGCGGCCTGTTGGACCAGGGTCTGGGGTGTCCCCTGTGCTGCCGGCAGAGGGGGCCCTGGGAGCTGGTGGAGTGAGGGGGGTGAAGACAGGGGGCTGGACAGCAAGATGGTGGCGGGCACATTCCTCCAGGCGGTGGCAGGGGCCAGATCCGGCCCTGGCCTGGGGCCCAGGAGCTGCTGGCAGCTGCGTGGGGGTGGGGGAGCAGGGCTGCCAGTGGAAAGGGTGGGTGGGGTGGGGAGCCTGGGGGGAATCAGGTAGAACCATGGGCATGTGTGGAAGGAGGGGGGCAGGTCTGGAGCCCCCCCCCCCCCCCCCCGGGTCCTAAACTTCCAAGGATGTGGCAGGGATGGTGGGGGTGGCCGCGGCCCACTCTCGCAGGGCTCTGTACCTGGAAGGGCTTACCTGAGCGGGATTTTCCCATTTTTTAAGAAAATCTTCTTTGGCTTTGGCTAAGAACTCTTTCACTGAAAGGAAGAGAGGGGAGGGTTAGATGGAGACTCCGGCCTGGTGGTGGGGGGGGGCGGATCGGGTTACCTTTGGGATATGTCCGTTTGTGGAAAGTGAGGTGCACCTTCTTAAAGCCAGAGCCTGACCTTGTCCCAGGACCTCTGAGCACCCGGGTCTGAGCTCGAAGGCAACTTTTGGGGATCCTGAAATGGGCTGGGGCCTGGGTACCCCCTACCACAGAGAAGTGGGAACCTGCTTCCAGTCCATCCAAAATGGGCACAGGGAGACTCAGGGGTTGCACCTAGGGGACAGGGAGAAACGCCAGGGCCAGCTCACCCCTGCCTGCCCCAGTTCTGACCAGCATTCCTTGGCCAGGGACGACGCCAGCCAGCCGAGGTATTTATAGCCTTTGGGTCTGGCTGCTCCTCTGGCCCCTTCTCTGGGGAGGCCGGGCCTGGGGTGGAGGCCTCTGAGGCTCGGGTAGCAGGCGTCCTTGGGGGGCTCAGCTGTCACCTTGGCCCCCAGCTGGCCCTGTACCTGTCTTTGCCAATCGTGGGGCCTTAGTCCAGTGTTGGTTCAGAGGAAGGCTTACTGGATGCCCCCGCAATGGTTCATAGTACCCTGAGGCCAACATCACATCCGCCCAACAGACACCTCCCTGGTGGACCCCTGCGCCGGCTGTCTTGTCTTACTCTCTCATTCGACTCACTCCACAATCCTTCTTTTATCCATTTTCCCACTTAACGGCCTAGGACACTGAGGCTTGAACTGCTCCCCTAATGACCGAGAGGCAACCCAGCCAAGCGGTTAAGGGCCAGGACTTGTGGATGAGACTGGGTCCAGATGCCTGCCTGGTCCCTGAAGAGCTGTGTGATTTTGGACAACTACTTCACTTCTCTAGGCCTCAGTCTTCCTCATCTGTAAAGTGGGAATAATAAGGGGCTGGGGTGGTGGCTCAGTGGTAGAGCCCTTGCCTGGCACATGTGAGGCACTGGGTTGACCCTCAGCACCACATAAAAATAAATAAACAAATAAGATAAAGGTATTGAGTCCATCTACAACTAAAATTAAAAAAAAAACAATTGGAATAACAAGAGCCATGAGCCCGCAGGATGGCTGTGAAGAGTGGCGACTGCGCAGTGTCCAGCATTGGGGGGCGGTTCATGCCAGGAAAATGTCATCTACAATTTTTTGAAGTATTTTTGAAATGTGGGTAGAAAATACAGGGAGATTCATTGAAAGTTCAAATCTTTTAAAGAAATGATGTCTGCCAGAGGCGGTGTATGCAATTTGGGAGGCTGAGGCAGGAGTATCGCAAGTTCGTGGCCAGCCTCAGAACTCAGCGAAGACCTAAGCAACTCAGCGAGAACCTGTCTCAAAATAAAAAGTCAAAAGGGCTGGGGATGTGGCTTAGTGGTGAAGTGCCTCTGGGCTAAATCTCCCACCCCAACTGGAAAAATAAAGAAATGATGTCTGGCTGTGTTGCCCAGGCTGGTTTCGAACTCTTGGGCTCACGTGATCTTCCTGCCTCATCCTCCCAAATAGCTGGGACTCCAGGCACATGCCACCAGACCTGGCTGAGTGCTCAGATCCCCACCGCACAGCTTGATGGATTCTGACCTTATAGATTCACCCTGGGACCACTGTGCAGGGCCCGGCACTGTTCTCTATGTGCCAGACTTGAACTGAATGTTTTTCTTTCTTTCTTTCTTTTTTTAAAAAATATTTAAAAATTTTTTGGCATGGGGGATTGACCTCAGGGGTGCTTTACCACTGAGTTACATCCCCCAGGGTCTCACTAAGCTGTTGAGGCTGGTCCCAAACCGGTGATCCTCCTGCCTCAGCCTCCCAAGTCGCTAGGATTACAGATATGTGCCACCACACCTGGCTAAGTAGTTTTCTCTTTTTCCTTTTCTTTTTTTGGAACTGGGGATCAAACCCAGGGCTTTGTGAATGGGAGGCTAGTGCTTTTCTGGTGAGCTACACCCCAGCCCTGGCTAAGTGTTTTTGATGCTAAAAATCTGACTTTGCCAGGTCAAAGTTGCTCTTCTTCCCACTGTACAGATGAGAAGATCGATCAGTCCTGAGATCATCTGTCTGACCCACTGCCATGAGACTATCTGCTTTACTACCAACTCAGACACTGGATTACTGGGTACAGAAGTGTCCTCAACCTAAGGGGCCCTACAGTCCTGCTCTTTGACCTTGCTTGTCATCTGCCTCCTAGCACATGGCCTGCTGAGTAGCCACCATTCCCCACTGTCCCCAAGACTCTCCAACAGTATTCAGAGAGAAAAGCACTTCATGGGACTAGAAGAATGGTGGCTAGAGTGGAGCCTGCCAGCTAGGAAGACCCTGCAAAAGGCGAGTGGGCCGAGATGGGCGGGCAGTGAATGGCTGTAGCCCCTAGGCTCTGCCTGATGGGGCTACAGACCCAAGAGACCTCTCTGAGCCTGGGGGCAGCACACATCTGGTGCTTTCACCAGCACAACCTTTCAGAGACGTCATGCCTTCCCTGGAGACCTCTCAACAACCCACAAAGAATTCTGGATTGGAGGCGGGCAGAGGGTGCTGTATTGGGCCTGCACAAGAGAGAGAAGGGCTGGGCTGGGGTCCTGCTTCCTGCTCCCAGCCATCCCTGGGCTTCCCCAACTCGGTGGCTCTGGCTGCTGCTAGTGTCCTGCTGTGGGGCTCCATGAGCTGCTTGGCCCACCTTCTTTGGCATCCTGAAGCCTGGGAGGGCCTGGGCTGTTTCCTCTCTGTGCCACCGGGCCCTGTTGGCTCGTCAGGCTTGGGGACAGGTATGAGGGGTCAATGCCAGGAGGAGCAGGGAGATAAGAGGGTTCATGGAGCTGGGCCTCAGACAGAAGCCCCCACACTCACCTCTGCTTCCTGTTTTTCCTGGCACAGGATGGCATAGGGGCTGGATGGGATAGGGTGACCTGGGGCCCATCGGGCCTGGTCAGGGAGGCTCAGGGTGCTGGCTGCGGCTTAGGTCCTTGGAAGCTGTGACGCAGGTAGCCCAGGAAACGGAGAACCAGGTGGGCCCAGAGGAGCAGCTGCAGCCACAACTGGAAGGTGATCTCTGAGCCCCCACCCTGGCTGCTGCTGGACCCCAGATCCATCCTAGGCTTCCCTGGTCTCTCCTTGGAATCCTCCCTTTGCTGGGGAACCAGGAAAATGCAGAGCCTCTGAGCTGGCTTCCTTGGGAAGGCCTCAGGGGACCAGGGAGGAGGAGCTGGTTGCCACGGAGGCATTTAAAGGTACCTGCTCCAGGCTGGCCGAGGTCTGCAGAGGCTCTCCTTGGCAGGAGGAGGTGGGAAGATTCTCCCGAGGGTGTCCCTCTGGCTGGCCTGCCTGTCCTGGGGCGGGGTGTTAAAGCTAACTTCCCCTTCTAGGGACTTTCACTGCTCCCGAGATGCCAGGCCCTGCCTCCCCGGGTGGGTACGAGACTGACTGGAAGCAGGCAATCAATGTGCCCAGAGCAGTGCCCACTGGGCAGAGGGGAAGGAGTTAAGGCCCTGGCTTAAGCAACAGGCAGAGACTCCCTGGGGGCTGAAGGAGCCCCAGAGCTTGTTAACTAGCTGGAAGAACAGCTGGAGAGAAAGGTGGAGGGAGGCAGGAGTCACCCTATCTCCTCCCGAGTTCCCTTTCAATGTGAAGCCCCCAAGTCCTGCTACCCCCCAAGAAAGAAATGGGCACATCTGGTTCTTTGTCTTGTTCCTATGTGGGGGCGGAGAGGGGAACAGCATCCCGGGATGTCCTTGGCCTCTGTCAAACCTTGCCCTGTGCTTGGCTCTGCTCAGGGCCATGAAAGTCCAAACCGGAAATGAATGGCTAAACCCTGGGGTGGGGGAGGGGAAGCAGCCTTGACCATCTTCCCCCTCCTTTGCAGATCCCCAAAGCAGCGGAGGGTCAGTGGCAGGCTCCCTGCGGGTACCCCACACTCTGTTCCCTGCTGGTGACAGGAAGTGGCTTAGGTGGGTAACCTAGCTGGCTGCTGCCTCGCCCACCCCTCCCACACTGGGGGCAGTGGTGGGTGCCACCGCCTCCGCTCTGGTCGGGATTTGCTTTGGACTCACAGAGAAAAACCCAGGTACCCCTTGAAAAGCCAGGGCCACAGCAAGAGGCAGAAATCTAGAAATCTGTCCTGGGTTTGAATCTGTCCTGGGCAGTTACAACAGCAGAACATCAAACTGAGCAAGGGAGCAGGGATCCCGCGGAAGGAGCCCACCTTGGGGCCCTCTCTCCCCAAGACAGTAACCTCCGCCCTTCTCCACTTCGATACCTGGCAGTCCTGGGGTCTCTGGGGCAGGTGCCCAACCTGGGCTGGGAGCCCCAATACAGGCCTAATCCTCCTGGATCCCCTGCTCTGGGCTGTACCACCTTCTACTCTGGACTGGACCTAGCCCCATTCTGAGCTGGACCCTCCATCCTGGACTAGATGATCCCCGAGTCTCTGTTGGACCCCAACATTGAGCTGGACCAATCTTCACCTGAACCGAATCCCAACACTCGGCTGGCTGCCCCACTGTCTCAGTCTGAGTTGGACCCCCACTCTGGGGGGACCATCCCCTCTTCTGAATTAGGCCATTCATACCCCCTGCTCTTCCCCAAGCCCCACAGCCCAAGGAGGTTAGTAAGGGAGGGGTTTCCAGGACAGCCAGGGTCTACACACTGCTTTCCACCTGCGCCCCCACACCCAACTGCATCCCCTCCTTGACTTGGGGCAGAGCGCTTAGGAAGTTGCTATAGCAACAGACTCAGCCTCACCATCGTTGGAGTTGGAAGCCATCACTCAGTCTTCCTCTCAGGGCACTAGGACTACGGTGGCTGGGAAGGCTCAGGAGACCTGCCTTACCAGCTTGGCTGCCCATCCCTAGAGCCCTGCCTGGAGAGGGAGACAGGGAGTTGGGGGTGGGGATAGGAGCAGGAAGAAACCCAATCTGGAGGCCAGTGGGTACAGGGAAAGGGTAGATAGAACCCTCTGAATTGCTATTGGCCCAATTGGACTAAAGGCAAAGCTGTCTTGGCAGAACCTCCTTGGCACCCATACAACTGCCAATGCACAAAAGATTTCTGACCCTCTTGAGCCTCTGTAGGATGTTAGAGGGCAACAGTTCTTCCCATCCAGGGACCTCCTGTGTGTATCTTTCTTTCAGTGCCTGGATTCCCTTGTCTCTGGAGGTCTGGGAAGCTTCTCCTTCCCTGTAGGCCAACTCCCAGGGGTGTCTTCCAGCCAGTGTCAGCTCAGACCTGAGCCCCACTTGGCTGTCTGTCCTGGAAGCCTCCTGGGGTTCTGCCCTCTCAATTCCTTCAGCCCTCAGCTTTTCACCCTGGCCCCTGCCAATGACTTCGCCATCTTTGGGTGCAGATTTCCCCCATCCCACTCCACCTGATGCCATTCTACAGCTTTATCCTCTTGTCTTGGCACAGAGAAGGCACACAGGGGGCACAGGATGCCTAATTAGTACCTACTAAGGCTGGGCATCTTCCTAACCCAAGCTGGGCTGGCATCTGCCAGATGAAATGCAGGTGCCCTCTGCAGAATGGCTTGGCTACTGGCCCCACCCCAGCCCCACCCTGGTTATAAGAGGGCAAATTTTGTGTAACTCCATCCTTTCAGAATCAAAGTGTCTTGAAGCAGAGAGGAGCTTGCTTCCTCATTGAGTTCCTTCTCTGGGAGGATACCCGGCTTCAGCCTGTTTTCCAAAGCGTGCCATGGTCCCACTGGCAGAACATGAAATTATTTTAGAGATGTTTCATTTATCTAGTTACATTGTATTTTAATGTGTATCAAAGAGAATGTAACTGGCATAGCAATTCTATGATTTCATTTATATTATTCCCTAGGATAGGACCATAGCTTACCTCTGAGCAGAAATGAGTAAATGTTTTATTTTATTTGAGATGGGGTCTTGCTATGTTGCCCAGGCTGGTCTGAACTCCTCAACTCAAGTGATTCTCTCACCTCAGTGTCCTTAGTAGCTGGGACTACAGGTGGGTGCCCCTATGCCTGGCTTTTATTATTTTAGATTAAGAAAATATACACAGGGGGCTGGGGTTGTGGCTCAGTGGTAGAGCGCTTGCTTCGCACGCATGAGGCCCTGGGTTCGATCCTCAGTACCACATAAAAACAAATAAATAAAAAATAAAGATTAAAAAAAAAGTACATCTTGTTAAAGAAAAAGTATATACAGTATGCAAATAGAATAAAAATCTGGGGGGTCAGTTTAAGAATTTCAGTTGGCACCTGGGTGTACGGCATATACCTGTAATCCCACAACTCGGAAAGCTGAGGCTGGAGGATCACAAGTTTGAGGCCAACCTTAGCAACTACTAAGTGAAGCCCTAAGCAACTTAGTGAGACCCTATCTCAAAATAAAAAAAATTTAAAAAAGGGCAGAGGAGGGCTGGGGCTGAGGTTCAGAGATAGAGCATGCGCCTAGCATGCATGAGGCACTGGGTTCGATCCTCAGCACCATATAGAGTAAAATAAAGACATTGTGCCCACCTCTAACTAAAAAATAAATATTTTTAAAAAGGCAGGAACTGCTGGGGATGTAGCTCAGTTGGTAGAGTGCTTGCCTTGCATGCACAAAGCCCTGGGTTCAATCCCCAGCACCACAAAAAAAAGGGGGGCAGGGGATGTGGCTCAGTGATTAAGCACCCTTGGGATCAATCTCTAGCACCAAAAAAGAAGAGCCAGGCATGGTGGCACATTCCTATAATCCCAGCAACTCAGAAACTGAGGCAGGAGGATAGCAAGTTCAAGGCCAGCCTAGGCAACTTAATGAGACCCTGTCTCATAAAAGACAATTTTTTAAAATTAAAAAACAAATGAGGGGCTGGGGCTGTGGCTCAGCAGTAGCGCATTTGCCTGGCATATGTGAGGCACTGGGTTCGATTCTCAACACCACATATAAATAAATAAAGGTTTATCAACAACTAAAAAAAATATTTTTTTAAAAATGGGGAAATTCTGGGGTCCAGGAAGATTGCTGGTAGATAGATCTGGATGTGAATCCTGTCCCCATGATGTAGTCCACGTCAAACTCAGATGGCTCATTTGGGAAATTCGAATAAGAGCCCACTAGGAAAATTACCAGAGCAGATATGTCTATGGAGCCTCCAGCCTGGCACGTCCTAGCTGCCCCATAGAGTGGCTCTATCTCATTGTGATCATTCACTCCTGAGTGTCTGGCCTGCGTGCTGACAGAATTAGCAGTTCCTTCCGGAGCCTCTGATCTTTTTCTGGGGATCTTTTCCCCTATGTGGCTCCCTATCCGCCCCCCACCGCCTGCATTTGGAATGCCTTGAAGGTCTTCCAGGACTATGTCATCTCCCCAACTTTCAACCCAGCCATTGCAATAGATAGCTGCCTGCGTCTACCTTCCACCTCCCAGCCTGCCTCACCTGCTGGGGGCCTGGCTGTCCCCTCTGCCTAGTCCCCTCCAAGCTCATGCCCAGGCTGTTTTTGGACACTGCCCACCTGCTCCTCTGTCATCAAGCACTCAACTACGGGCATTTGTGCTCCTGTCCCCCGCCCATTGGTAACATACCGGGCCTCTTCAAGGCTCCACCACTCAGAATCCTGCCGTCTGACTGTGTGCAGGCAGAAATTCCCAGGCCTTCGTAGCTTTTTCATATTTTTCGGGGGGGGGGGCATTCTGGGACTCCGACACTCAGGTTTGAGACCAAGAACTGGGAAGGGCATAGTTGGATGTGGCTTCCTTTTCAGTTTGGAATATTTCTGGGTGACTGGAAGGGGATTCCCAGCTGAGGCCCACTTTTAGGGCTTCAGTGACAACAATTAAGAGCTGGGGGAAATTGGGGAGGGGGTTCAAGGCCATTTCTGATGGCAATTTCAAACACAGAAATCTTTCTGTCTCTCAAGATGGGAAAGGCCAACATAGCTGAGGTCTAGGGAGTAGGAAAAGCCTCCTCTGAGCCCTGGTCTATAGAGAATCCATTTGTCCCTTGGCAAAGCAAATCACTAGATGTCACTCATTACTCTCCTTGACTACCTCCCCTCCTCCCCAAGTCCTCTTTCTGATCATCCCAGTTCAAGGCGAGTGAGCCTCACCAACCCGACACTTCATTCCCAGTCAGGAGCCAGGAACAG